AGGTGGAACTGAAGTTGAGATCTCTGACGGCCAAGCTTTGAGGACGGCATCTGCGCGAGGATACGTCGACATCGTCCGCTTGCTATTGGAGGCAGGAGCCAACAAGGATGTACTCGTAGCAGACAGCAGCCGCCGAACAGCTTTGCACTGGGCCTCGTTGGCCGGTGCTATCGAGATCATTGGCTTGCTGCTGGCGGCCGGCGCCAGCAAGCTTAGGCATCTGGCAGAAATCGAAGGCCGCACGGCTTTGATGAGGGCATCCAGTGAAGGATATGCCGGAATCGGCAGCATGCTGCTGGAAGCAGGCATCCGAGGCAGGTCATCTCCAAATCGTCCGATGCCTTCGAGATCCTTGTTTGCACCTGAAGCCAGCAGCAGGTGCAAACAAGGCTCTCGAAGGCATCGATGGCCACACAGCCCTGATGAGGGTATCCGATGCAGGGAATTTCGAAGTGGTCCGCTTGCTACTGATGCCTACTTTCAATCTGAAGCCCCAATCGCGATTTCGTTTCTTAGGAGTTTCGGGCGCAGGGCCATTGAAAAATAGATTTTGTCGTATACACCACAGGCAGGAGAAGCCCGTGGTCGCCCCCATAAGCCACACCTCGGGGTTCGGAAGTCTGACTCCTAAGCCCTAAACCCCCTAAACCCTAAGCCCCCTAAACCCCCTTAACCCCTAAGCCCCCTAAACCCTAAGCTCTAAACCCCCCAAACCCTAAGCGCGAAGGAGCTGGGAATTCAGAGCCGAGCCCAGAATAGAGGGGCCTTACTTGTTCGAATAGGATTCGTAGTTTCAGGGGTGCAGAAGGGCTTGCAAGGGTTTTAGAGGGTGTAATGTGGGGCCCTTAAACTTTAAACATCAGAACCAAAAGATGGGATTTGGAGTTTGGAGCATATGAAAAAATTTCCAGTGCAGCTACAGATGCCGGAACCATAACGGCATCTGTCATATGTATGGATGGAATGATGGATGAATGGATGGATGGGTGGATGGGTATACATGCAGACAACGTACTAAAGCTTCGCATCAACATCAACATCAACAAGGGGTCAACAACTATGGGTTTGCTCGTGACAGCTGCGAGAAGTTCAGGAAGAGCGGCGTCAGCCACCTTCGCGGCCCTGGGTAGTAGACCTGGTCTTCCCTCTCTGCTCCTTCAAAGAGCTCAACGCCATCTCGGAGGGCCTGGCGTTGATCGGGTCGGGGGTTGGTAGCCGGGCGCTGGAGCACTCTGTTGGCTAGATTTTCTTACTTTCCCAATAGTTCTTGAGTTGAGTTTTTGGGAAGCCTTCGTGGAAGAACGAAGGCAGTGTCTTTGACCCTTTGGACGGCTGGCCGGCAGGGACTTTGCAAGCGAGGAAAGCCAGAGACCACAACCGCATCCGAGGCCCCTGGAGGCATGCGCGCTTCCGGCTCTTCATCTACGCCGTCTGTGGGACCTACGGCCTCTTCGGCCGGCATGCGGACAGCGCGTCCATCTTACCACAGGAGGAGGCCAAGCTGGCGAAGGAGATCTTTTCGGGGTTGTCGAGCAGCACAGTGCAGCTCTTCAGGGAGGGACCGGAAGAGCTCCCTCCCCTCCACCTGGCAGTCTTTGAGGAGGAGGTTCCTACAGGAGATGTAGCTGCTTATGTGCATCATCTGGCGGTGGCCTCCAGCAGCCAGAATCTGGGAAACATTACGATGCTTCTGCATCCGGACTTCTTGGAGCACGTCCGCTCTTGGATGGTCGTGTCCATCTTCCGGGCATTTCTGAATGGAGCTTGGCCACAAGAGGTGGACTTCCTTTACTTGGGGTGGAGGCACGAGGGCCCGGTGAGCCCAGAGGGTCGAGTGGCCTCCCACCTCCGCTACCACTGTGATATCGAAGCTGGGCCAGGGGGACGGCTGGGCCCATGTGATGCGGGTTACAATCCCAGGCTGCTTGAGAACATGTGGCAGATGATCTTCGGACGTCCTTTGGACCCCTTTTCGGGGGACGACCTGGGCGGCTACGATTTCTCCCAGCTACTTGTGACCCGGCGAGCTGTGCTGAATCGCCCGGCCAGATACTGGCGCTATCTTTCCAAGGTCCTGTCTGCGAAGAGTTCCTTTGAACTCTTGCCGGGAACAAGGTTCATCTCCAGACGTACCGACCTCACGGTGAACGATCCACACAACAAAGGCGTGTGCGCATGGTTCGAGCACATGTGGCACATGCTCTTCGACCCGCGCTACTTTCCCAGGAAGGCTGGCACGGTTCAGGACCGTTGCCGTTAGTGCTCTCCAGCGACTGAATCGGGCATACACCTGCACCCACCCCCAAATCCGACCCGCTGGGGTCCTGAAGCCAAGCCACTGCCGCAGCAGGAGTAGTAGGAGTAGGAGTAGCAGGAGCAGCAGGAGTAGGAGGAGTAGCAGCAGAAGTAGAAGGAGCAGAAGCAGTACTACTCGTCGTCATCGTTGCTGTAGCAGTTGTTGCAACAGCAGTACTTAGTGAAGAACAAGCATGAGGGCTTGGGAAGAGCGGTCTCTTCACGCGAAGGAGGCAGACCTCAGATCCTACACGCGGCTGCACGACGAAGCCTTGCCGCCACTCGGCTTCCTAAAGGGGTGTCCTGGGCTCAGACACCGATTCCTGCGACTGCGCGTAATTATATCCACCACAGCTGTCAACGATGTTTAGGGTTTAGGGTTGTAGATAGGCTGAAATCTTGCGTTCGTAGACAACAGACAACAATCAACTTCCTTGAAGCCCAGGCGAAAGGAACAGTGATGCCATCTGTTGCAATCCCTAATCCAGGCCATATCCTACTTGCTTTGTCGCTACACTTCCTTGAAAGGAACCATCTACATCCCAAGCTGATAGAGCTGCGCAGCTGCTTGTGTCATAGTGCAACCGTAACACTCCCCAAAACGACTCTCCCCCCCCTAGACACCTGAAACCAACTCTTGCGGCTTTGTTGAAGACACAAAGCGCCATAGGCACCTTTCATATATGCCCGTATAGGAAGCCTTCAAGCAACCGCTTTTGTGCCCTCAGCCACAGGCTTGGGTTGCGTGCCGGACCAGACACGGTGCAGGTCTCAGGACAGGCTTTGGGGTTACCGTTTTCTCAGGGTCTCATGGGGATGTAAGGGTCTTGTAGAGCGTCAGTTCAGGGCTTTATCAGGATTTCCACGGACATGTATTGGGATTCATGAGGGTTTCTTTTCACAGAGACTTTTGATAGCTTCGGAACTTGGCTCCAGGGACGAGGATGACATAAGGCCGAGAGGGTAGTCCCTCACCTGTATACTCTGTGTACACATGGGTTTGGAATTGTTCATGATCGTGCCCCCTGACATATAGCTCCTGTACATGTTGTTGTTGGCTGAGGTTTGGTGTTTCTCACGATGAGGGATGGCGCAAAAGCGTAACTTCTTCGTATGTCAAATCAGATTGAACGAGGACCCAGCGATCACCGCACCACTGTTTAGTACCGCACTCGACTTATTCTCCATTATGCCACGAGGCCTTTCCGAAGAACTTGTGCCATGCCGAAACCAAATGTATGCATCCCTAACTTTGCAGGTACCTACTATATAGGGTACTAGAGCCCCCAGGGCCTTATATAGTAGGTACCTGGGGGGTTAGGGCATCATACCGAATCTACACGCACCCTGCTGTGCCAAGGTCTTGGGGCGGCACTACTGGCTAAATGCAGAACAGCAGTGCCGGGCGCTGCGGGACGAGCCACTCCGCTGTCCTTAAGTCTTCTATTGCTTTTTGCTTGAGGTGAGGCCGGCTGGGGGTTTAGGCGTTGCAGTACATGGTCGGCTCCGCTGTTCTTGCTCAGGCAGGGATGCCGAATCTACCACATGCTGCAAGGGGGTCGTCAGACTTGAATGGCTCGACGTCTCAGACAGCACATGGACTTCTTCAGCCCACTCGGCCGATCTTTGCCTTGGAGTCAATCAGAAGCTGGGAGGCAAGCCGCAGTGCTTGTGACATTCTGGCTGCACTCTGAGCACTTTTGTGGCGACCATCTGGACGAGCAGGTCAAAGTAATGCTCCCGCCGCTCGGGGAGACTGGGCAGAAGACACGGTCACGGCCAGGCTCACTGAGGAACATCTCGGTGGGCAACGATGATTGAAATGCGTTGAGTGACATGCTCCGCGGATTGGTCATGTGCGCGTGCAGATCTGGAGTGAAAGAGAGCAGGGGGCCCAGCCCGGTAACCGCGGTACGAACACCCGCAGCAACCGGCCATCACGCCGAGAGGAGGAAGCCTCTTCATTGTAATGGCACCGGCTGTGAAGGATTGGCGCACTTCGACTACAGTCAGTCTTGCTGGCTCTGTCGGCTCAAGTCCCCTCCTGAAATAGCTGTAAACTGAGTCCTTGTTGCATACAGGTTTACATTGTTTGTTATATTAAAACCAAATAAGAATTAAAAAAGGGCTAAAAATCATCATTGTTAAGATGGCCCCAACAGAAAACCAGTAAACTCCAACAGCTAGCAACAGCATCGTTTGCACTGCTGGATGAACGGCGGCCCTATCCTCGAAGAGCAAGGCTGAAGATAAGCAGCTCCGAGCTCTAAAGAGGCCGACTGCGAGCTCTCGAACCCTAAGCTCTGTAAGCCCTCGCACCCGAAACCTTAGACTTAGTGTCGGATCTTAGGAGGAGAGCTGACTCAAATTCGAGTCGAAGTTTTTTCCCTCCCCTCAAAGTCCTTTATTCTTAGTGAGGAGGTAGGAAGAACCCATCCAAAAAATCCTGCCTCTGGTGACCTGGCCACCGGATTGAAGCTATGACGGACAGCTGGGCGCCGCCGGGCGGTGCTGCGACGGTGCCGCAGACCGGGGGGGGGGAGGGTTGGCGTTGAGGTTGAGAGCTTAGGGGGCCTTTTGTGGATTCAGGCGGTTTTGGAATGGCCCGGCCGGGCTTGAGGGCTTATAGGGTTTGGGGTTTATTGTTTTAGGGTGGGGGGGGGGGGGGGGNNGGGGGTAGGCTTTGGATAATTTAATGGCTGTTGGTTGTTGATTGAAGGTGGTGTCGTATTAACAGCATGGTCCGCTGTCGTGTCATCGTGACTGCCGCCACTACTTCCTGTCGGCAGGCATTGTTGCATTTGTCATGTCAGCATGTCAGCTGCTCCGCTATGCGATACTTAGTACGCCTTTCGTTTCTCCACTTTGCATCTAAGCTTAGCATCGAAGAAAGCTTCAGTGGCTTTCAGTTGTACTGCACCCGGCAACTTTAGCTACAGTCCTGACAGCAGAGTCTCTGTCTGACTAGATGACTGCAGATGATCTCACAGGAACCACAGGAGCAGCACCGTGGGGCACACTTAGCCATGCAGGCGCAGTTCCGGACCCTGGCAGCGTCATTGTCGGCGGCAGAGGCCAATGGTTACCAGAGTATGTGATCGTCTATATATATATATACACACACACACATATGTCGCCTGAGAGGCAACGCCCAAGACCCAATCAAAGATGACCTGATGTTGCGGTCTCCGCGAACTGCGATCACATACGAAAAGAACATCACAGAGCATTGCCTGTATTTTACGATCCTGTGGTAAATTCCTGAGATCCTTGCCGTGTGAGGAACGGTGTCAGCAGCAACAGTACTATGACAGGTACTACAAGGGATACTATAAGACTATAAGAGCTACTTAAAGGTTGCTATTATAAGAGTTACTAGGGCTGCAGATTCGTGCAAGACAGTCTGGCGGAGGCAGCGCAGCTGATCAAGCGATGCGCTGCCTGCAGCTGCCCCGGTTCTTTGGGCATTCATTTGAGGCTCAGGTGTACGTTTCATCCAGTGAAGACCTTTCGGATGAAGATCGCGGTGTTGTGTCGGGAAGGCTTTCTGGGTTGAGAAGTCTTCATCTTGCACCGGTCTAACTAAGTTCCTTCTGCCGCATGATTCAAGCTGGATGCTGCAGGTCTTGCAGATGAACTCCGTGCCGGCAACCAGGACAGCTGGAAGCCGAGAGCTTTTGGCGTGGTGGGCGACCTGCCATGTTTGAGCCAATGCTTCCTGTTCGCTGAGGGACGGCGGCTCCCATCACCCGTCTGGCGGCGGTGATACGAGGCTGCCGTGAACGTTCACTTTCATCCTGCGCGCACAACATCTCAGGTGGAGGCGCGGAGGCGTGCGCTCCCCAGGAAGCTACCAGCTACGGCTGTACTCTCCGATTTGCAGTGTAGCAGGCTTCCTCTGCAGACCATTGATCTCTCTGCTCCTTCACTTTCTTAAGGACTTCGTAACCCTGCCGAGTTTCCTACCTGAGGCCCATGGTCTTCTTGATCGAGTGCGACATGGCAGTGTGGAGCATGACAGGGCTTCCGGAAGGGCTAAGCCTTCGGGAGGTACTGGCAGCCGGGGGGTGAGGTCGGTGGTGATGTGCAAGCCTCAGTGGAGGTTGAGAGCCACTCAAAGCCTGTAAACCAGCGTTTTTTTTGCGACTCCATAACTATGATGAACCCCAAGTAAGCCCTTTTTCTGAAACGAAGCCCCCGAGGTGCGGGAAGTGGCAGAAGCAGAAGCACAAAGTCAGGCCCAAGCCCGCGTCGAGGCCGGGGGGCCTTGCGCGGTTCAGGGTTCAGGGCCGTTTAGGGTCTGGGGTACCAGGGTTTAGGGTTTAGGGAAGTTTAGGGTTTAGGGTTTAGGGTACCAGTTAAAAGGTTTCAATGCCTGGAAGCTCTTGTAGTATACTCTGCTGTAGAGTCATGCCACCAGCTGTACAGCATTTATTGCGGACTCTACGGCAAGCCATTTTAAAAATCACAGGGTTCCCCAGATTTAGGCAGAAACCTGCAGATGGTGGTCTTTACTAGGACGACCCCAGGAGTGCAGGGAGGCCTTCGTTCGACTCCAGAGCTTTTTTTTGCATCCAAACTGGCCGAGCCCAGCACCTTAAATACAAACTTCGAACCCTAAGGCCCAAACTTCGAACCCTAAGGCCCAAACGTCGAACCCTAAGGCCCTAAGATTTTTTGTCAAAAGTATCAAAAGGCTAGTCTAAACCCTAAATACAAACTTCGGACCCTGAGATTTTTTGTCAAAAATATCAAAAAGGCCTAATCGAAACACCCTCGGCCTCCTGAGCTTCCTAATCGAAACACCCTCGGCCTCCTGAGCTTTAAGTTCGGAGGTGGCGAGCTGCGACGTTCTGCTCGATCTTGCGGCAGGGCGGCTGTCCCCCTTGGTCGACCGGGCCTCAAGCTGTAGAGTTCCGGGGTCTTGGGTTTTAGGGTTTAGGGTTTAGGGGTCTGGGGGTTTAGGGTTTAGGGGTTTAGGGTTGTAGGGCTCAGGGGTTTGGGGGTGGTGTGGGGGTTTTAGGGTTTAGGGCTTAGGGGTTTAGGGGTTTAGGGTTTAGTGGCCGTAGCACTTCTTTAGTTTAGGGGCCGTAGCACTTCTTTATCAACTTTCATTACAGTACTAACTGGTACTATGGTCTATTGCTGTGGTCGTTTTCTCACCTAAGCATCGTCATTCTAATATGAAACTCGATGATGCTCTAGGATGCTGTACTCCTAACCACACTCTGCTATAATCAACCACTGCCACCCTGAGCCCGACAGTCAGATCAACACGCCGGCGAGATCCTGCGAGTTTTGGCTGCTGAGGCCATGGCCCGCCGCAAGGCAGGAGTCTGAGCTGAGAGTCCTACAGCGAGTTTAGATTGTTAAAGTTTAGGGTTTGGGGGTTCCTCTGTTGCTGTAGCTAGACTGCGTCGTGGCGTCGTGTAGTAGTGCATAGCAGACAGTTCAGTAGTACCAGTCATCATATTGCATCAAGGACAGCAGCTTGAAAATGGCGCAATAGCAGAAGCAATGGAAGTGACATGAATGGTATTGATGTTCGATCAGAGAGACAGTAAACGTGAGCAAGGAGGGAGCGGCCGGATTGTGTTCCTGGCAGACTCAACCCCCGCAACGCAAAACCCCTGTAGAACCCGTTAAGGGCGCCTTTGAGGTGAAAGTATCCGGAGAGATGCAAGCTGCTCGTCCACTCGCCCCCTTCCTCAAACGCCGCAGCCTCAATCTGGGGAGATGACGTAGGTCTCAGGTGTAGAGTTAATTATAAGGGTTAGGAGGACTTGGTGTTTCGGAAATCCCAGACGCTGAAGCCCCAACTTCCAACTATGCTACCAAGGTGCCGTTCCCAAAGCATTGGGGGAATTCCAAGAAGGGCGCAGCGTGGTCTCGCGGCGACACGGCTGAATTTGGATGCAGTTGGCTTGTGAAGGTGGCCATGGCGCTCGATTTTTATTTTGTCATTGCCCAGGTAACTGTGCTGATTGGACGCTGTCATCGTTCGCATTATGAACACTTACTGTAGATCCTTGTAGTCTTGATGTTGCTTTGCATGTCGGTCTGCTGTTTATTTTCTGACAGATTCTGGTCTTCCTGAACCGTGCTGCTTTCTTCTCCTGGTCGTCATCAGCATCATCATCATCATCATCACCACGATCTCGTAGTAACGCTGCTACTACGATTGTGGATGCTCCGACAGCAACCGGCGCGTTCTAAAAGCCTTGCTCACCCTAGACATGTCACTGTGCACAGGCAGGATGTGGTTGCTTTGGCTTTCAGCCTATGTCTGTGCGCTTCAGATCCACCTGACCGATGCAATGCTCAGCAATGCCTGCGTTGGCTCGAGAGCCTTGTCATCTCGGGATTTCGGGGGCCAGCCTTCTGCGAAGAAGCCGTCTGCACAGCTTTCGGCCAAGCCAACCCGGCAGAAGGGCAGGCCTGCGTCCGCGCTTGCGTTTTTCGTGGACAGGGTCTGTCCCGCATTTTCGTGCCTGCTTTGGAGACGAGGATGGCGGCCTTGGAAGTGTTTGCAGGCCACCAGGCTAAGGGACGTGGCAGTGAGGTGCCAAGAATCGGAGCAGGGACCACAAGGAATTCTGCCAAGCAAATGTGAGCGATGTAACAGGAAGCTGTGCCTCTGCGCTGCTTTGCCGCAGACGCGACTGGATACCAAGACTCGCGTGGTGCTGTTTACTCACCCGAAGGAGAAGCGCAGGGCATTGGGATCGGGTCCTCTTTTGCAGCTATGTCTGAGCAACATCACTGAAATCGTCGGCAAAGAGTTCCCAGATCCGCCGGAAGACTCCGCGCTGCACGACAAG